ATGGCGTTTTTATGCCTTACTATACTACAACGTTTTTTGATGTTTTTATGCCTTACTATACTATGATTTTTTATGCCTTATTATACTATGACATTTTTTGACATTTTAATGCCTTAATATAGTATGACATTTTTTGACGTTTTTATGCCTTATTATACTGACTTTTTATGCCTTACTATCCTATAATGTTTTATGCCTTACTATACTATAACGTTTTTTGACGTTTTTATGCCTTACTATACTATAACGTTTTATGCCTTACTATAGTATGACGTTTTTATGCCTTACTATACTATAACGTTTTTTGACCTTTTTTATGCCTTATTATACTATGATTTTTTATGCCTTATAACAGTATGACATTTTTTGACATTTTAATGCCTAAATATAGTATGAAGTTTTTTGACGTTTTTATGCCTTATTATACTATGACGTTTTTATGCCTTACTATACTATAACGATTTATTTCTTACTATAGTATGACATTTTTTGACGTTTAAATGCCTTACTATACTATGATGTTATTTGATGTTTTTATGCCTCACTATACTATGACGTTTTTTGACATTTAAATGCCTTACTATACTATGACTTTTTTTTACGTTTTTATGTCTTATTATACTATGACGTTTTTATGCCTTATTATACTATAACGTTTTATTCCTTACTATAGTATGACGTTTTTATGCCTTACTATACTCTGACGTTTTTTGACGTTTTTATGCCTTACTATACTATGACGTTTTATGACATTTTTTGATATTTAAATGCCTTAATATAGTATGACGTTTTTGACGTTTTCATGCCTTATTATACTATGACGTTTTTATGCCTTACTATACTCTGACGTTTTTTGACATTTTTATGCCTTACTATACTATAATGATATATTCCTAACTATATTATGACATTTTTTGACGTTTAAAATACTTACTATACTATGACGTTTTTTGACGTTTTCATGCCTTACTATACATGACGTTTTTTGACGTTTTTATGCCTTACAATACTAAGACGTTTTTATGCCTTACTATACTATAACATTTTATGCCTTACTATACTATGACTTTTTTTGACGTTTTTATGCCTTACTATACTATAACGATTTATTCCTTACTATAGTATGACATTTTTTGACGTTTAAATGCCTTACTATACTATGATGTTGTTTGATGTTTTTATGCCTTACTATACTATAACGATTTATTCCTTACTATAGTATGACATTTTTTGACGTTTAAATGCCTTACTATACTATGATGTTGTTTGATGTTTTTATGCCTTACTATACTATGACGTTTTTTGATGTTTTTATGCCTTACTATACTATAACGATTTATTCCTTACTATAGTATGACATTTTTTGACGTTTAAATGCCTTACTATACTATGATGTTGTTTGATGTTTTTATGCCTTACTATACTATGACGTTTTTTGACGTTTTTATGCCTTACTATACTATAACATTTTATGCCTGAGTATACTATGACGTTTTTATGCCTTACTATACTATAACATTTTATGCCTTACTATAATATGATCTGACGTTTTTTAACATTTTAATGCCTTAATATAGCATGACATTTGTTGACGTTTTACGCCTTATTATACTATGATTTTTTATGCCTTACTATACTATGACGTTTTTTTGAAGTTTTTATGCCTTACTATACTATAATGTTTTATGCCTTACAATACTATCATGTTTTATGCCTTACTACAGTATGACGTTTTATGCCTTACTATAAAATGAATATTTATTCCTTATTATAGTATGACGTTCTTTTGACATTTTTATGCCTTACTATACTATGACATTTTTATGCCTTACTATACTATGACATTTTTATGCTTTACTATAGTATGATATTTTTTGACGTTTTTATGCCTTAATATACCTAAACATTTTTTGACATTTTAATGTCTTACTATACTATGACGTTTTATACCTTACTATACTTTGACTTTTTTTGACGTTTTTATGCTTCAATATACTATGACGTTTTCATGCCCCCCCGCGAACCTACTAGAGGATAAGCGGTAGAAAATGGATGGATGGATGGATTTTTTGACATTTTAATGCCTTAATATAGCATGACGTTTTTTGACGTTTTTATGCCTTATTATACTATGACGTTTTTATGCCTTACTATACTATGACGTTTTTATGCCTTATTATACTATGACGTTTTTATGCCTTACTATACTGTAACGTTTTTATGCCTTATTATACTATAACATTTTTTGACGTTTTTATGCTTCACTATACTATGACATTTTTTGCCTTACTATACTTTAACGTTTTATGCCTTACTATACTCTGACGTTTTTTGACGTTTTCATGCCATACTATACTATGACATTTTTATGCCTTACTATACTATGACGTTTTTTGACGTTTTTATGCCTGACTATAGTATGACATTTGTTGACCTTTTATACCTTACTATACTGTGACATTTTTTAACGTTTTTATGCCTTACTATACTATGACGTTTTTATGCCTTACTATACTATAACGTTTTATGCCTTACTATAGTATGACGTTTTTATGCCTTACTATACTATAACGTTTTTTGACCTTTTTTATGCCTTATTATACTATGATTTTTTATGCCTTATAATAGTATGACATTTTTTGACATTTTAATGCCTAAATATAGTATGAAGTTTTTTGACGTTTTTATGCCTTATTATACTATGACGTTTTTATGCCTTACTATACTATGACGTTTTTTGACGTTTTTATGCCTTACTATACTATGACGTTTTTATACCTTATTATACTATAACGTTTTATGCCTTACTATACTATGACGTTTTTATGCCTTTCTATACTATGACGTTTTATGACTTTTTTATGCCTTACTATACTATAACGTTTTTTGACGTTTTTATGCCTTACTATACTATGACATTTTTATGCTTTACTATAGTATGAAATTTTTTGACATTTTAATGCCTTACTATAGTATGAGTTTTTTGATGTTTTAATGTCTTACTACAATATGACGTTTTTATGCCTTACTATACTATGATATTTTTATGCCTTACTATAGTATGATATTTTTTGACGTTTTTATGCCTTAATATACCTAAACATTTTTTGACATTTTAATGTCTTACTATACTATGACGTTTTATACCTTACTATACTTTGACATTTTTTGACGTTGTTATGCTTTAATATACTATGACGTTTTATGCCTTACTATACTATGACGTTTTATGCTTTAATATACTATGACGTTTTATGCCTCACTATAGTATGACGTTTTATGCTTTTTTCTATGAGTTCTTTTATTCCTTATTATACAGTTATTTTCTATCACTTACTACCCTATGACTTCTTTTATTTCTGACTATATTATGACTTTTATGACTTACTATACTATCACTTCTTTTATGCCTTACTATACTATATGACATATATATGAAATATATGTCCCTATATCAAGAGTGATGTTAGCATATATGTTACCTATATGAGGATATATAATGTTAACATTTATCTTCATATATCCAGAGACTGTATATACGTTTATACCATATATGAAATCCTCATATTGAAATAAACTTTATTAATACAACATGTTCATTAAAATTGTACATGTACATGTTTGTATATGATTTTCTTAATAATTTCTCATTAAATTTAAAATACATGTCTATCTTTTATATTTACATATACAATACGAGCATATACTGACAGGCGTTGGGATGGATATATATTCATGTAACATTTCTATAATTTAAACAGACATACAACATACTGTATGTACATATAATACATTTGCATATTGTCATAGAAGAAGACTGAACAGGTAATTCCAGCAAGAACAAAACAGGTCAAGTGACAAAACTGACGGTAAGACAGAGACATAAATAGACAAAGGTAATTGGGAACTGGTGACACATCATAGCAGGGCTGACAATGACATGTGCGGGAAATAAAAAATGAAAGTAAAACAACCAACAGACATATAAGGAAGTAACTGGAACATTTAATCAATGAAATATCACTTTTGATCCTCAGATCTGATTATTTTCATCATAGTTTTGTGTATGTTTTTTCCAGCTTGTAGGTCATATCTTTTTCTGGATGCCACACACCACCAGTAGCTTCTGTCCTTTTTCCAAACAGCTAATGTCAGATTTGAGAAGCTCACACAGCTCAGATTGTCAGACTCTACAGTTAATATGTTCCTAATTTTTTTGGCATATGCACAAAGGAGGGAGGGAAACTTCCCGAAAAGCTTCACAAACCTGCTCTTCCAGTGAACTGATGTTACAGTAATGTCTTATGTATGCATGTGTATTAGCAAAGGTTGTGTTTGATTAGGGTCCTATACAATGCAGCATAATATAACCATTTAGCACTAAACATGAAAACATTACATTTCAAACTGTGAAATAGAGTATTAAATAAAACACACAAAATACAATATTATAATATTAAAACAGAGAATTATATTCTGTCAGTTGGTATAGGCCTCCGTTGCAGAGAGAAAAAAAGGAAAATAGATAAATCAATAGACATTCTTTGGCTCCTGATTAACTTCATTTCGTGCCACAAGTCTGTAATTATCTTAATGTCGAAACCTGAAAGACATTAAAGCCTCATCTTCACAGCTACAACAGGAGGTGGAGCGACAGAGGGAATATGTAAGGGCTTAAACAGAATATTTCCCTGCAATAATTTTTGTCAACAGCACAGTGACGATCAAGATGAGTCTCTCTATGTGAACAAAAATTAAACTGGGTTCATCAGGACATTCTCAAGAACACAGCACAGTCTCTGCTAAACACTGGTGAGTACAGCTGGTGATATTTACAATATATCAGTAATACTTGTATGTGGTTTTTGTTGTCTCTATGTTTGATGATTCTATGTTTTCTATTTTCTATGTTGTGTGTCTTAATGTTGCATTTTGTGAAGGTCTAGTCATGAATAAATTTTCATGATAGACAATAAGACTGATTTTGTTTGTATTTGCTCTATTAAGGTATTATTATACAATTTCACTTTTGCTTTTTGACACTCTTGTTCTCAGTGTGTACACATGGCTGCTGCAAGTTGTGTGTTGACTGAAGATCAGTTTCTGTGCCCCATCTGTCTGGATGTGTTCACTGACCCAGTCACTACAACATGTGGACACAACTTTTGCAAAAGCTGCATCACTCAGCACTGGGAAAACAATGGCCATTACAAGTGTCCTATGTGTAAAAAAAAATTCCACAAAAGACCTGAGCTGCAAGTCAATACGTTCATCTCTGAGATGACTGCTCAGTTCAGACTATCGGCTAAAAAGAAAGACAGAAGCAGCTCAGAGCAACAGTGTGACAAAACACAAGTTCCCTGTGACATCTGTGCTGGAACCAAACTCAAAGCCCTAAAGTCCTGCCTGGTTTGTCTGGCTTCCTACTGTGAGAGGCACCTGGAGCCTCATCTGACAGCATCAGCCCTAAGAAAACATCAGCTGGTGAACCCTGTTAAGAACCTGGAGGGCAGGATGTGCAAGAAACACAATAAACCTCTGGAGCTATTCTGCAAGAATGATCAGATGTGTATATGCATGCTCTGCACAGTTTTGGAACATAAGATGCACACTGTTATTCGTCTGAATGAAGAAAGTGAAGGAAAGAAGGCTGAGCTGGGGAAGACAAAGGCTGAAATTCAGAAGATGATCCAGAAGAGGCAGCTGAAGATTCAGGATATCAAACATTCAGTGGAGCTTAGTGATGAAGATGCAGACAGAGAGGTAGCAGCTGGTGTTCAGATCTACAACATTTTCAGGTATGTTCTGGACATAGGGCTGAAGGAGATCAATGAGACGATAGAAGTGAAAAAGAGAATGACACGGGAACAGGCCAAAGGTTTCATCACAGAGCTAGAACAGGAAATCTCTCAGCTGATGAGGAGCAGAGCTGAGCTGGAGCAGCTCTCACACTCTGAAGATGACCTTGACTTCCTCCAAACCTTTCCATTCCTGAATGTTTTCTTACCCACCAAAGACTGGACAAAGGTCAGCATACCTCCACCAATATATGAAGGGACTGTGAAGAAAGCTATGGACATTAATTATGAATGGCTGGGGAAGACTGAGGCCCTCAGTAAAGAGAGACGAAAGTTGTCTGAGGCTGAGCTGAGGAAGGTCCAGCAGTATGCTGTGAATGTGACACTCAATCCTAATACAGCACATCGTGCCCTTGTCCTGTCTAATGATGAAAAACAGGTAAGGTGTACAGATGAATGGAGAAATCTCCCAGACAATCCAGAGAGATTTTCTATTAGGGGTAATGTCCTAGGAAGGTATGGTTACTCTTCAGGGAGATTTTACTATCAGGTTCACGTTGAAGGGAAGAATCAGTGGGGTTTAGGAGTGGCCAGGCAGTCAGTGAACAGGAAGACAGACATACCAATGAGTCCGAAGAATGGTTACTGGCAGTTATGCCTGAAGGATAATGAGTACAAGGTTTCCGGTGACCCTCCAGTTCCTCTCTCTCTTAAGTCAAAGCCCAAGAATGTGGGGGTGTTTGTGGATTATGAGGAGGGACTAGTTTCCTTTTATGACACTGATACTATTGCTCTTATCTACTCCTTTACTGGCTGCTTCTTCACGGAGAAACTGTACCCATGCTTAAATCCCTGCTTTTATGATGGTGGTAAAAACTCTGCTCCCCTGATCATTACTCCTGTTACTCGCACCTGAGTAGTAAGCATTTGTTTTTCCACAAAAAGGCTCAGTGTGATTTAAGGTAACAAATGTGAAAATTCTGTGGACCTCCTTGATAAGCCCTTGAGACCAAGGTAGCAGATTTCTGCACAAAGGCTGGTGTTGTCTATTCTCAGACAGTGTTGACTTGCAATTTTCAATTACAGAAAACACAAATGGCTGGGCTTTGGCTTTTTTAAATTAATTAAATATGCCAAATAGACATTACACATCATCAATAATTCTTGTATAGAATTCAAATACCTATCTTGTGCAACATTATGACAGTAACATATTTATTATTACAATGTTTTGAGCTATTTGAGGTTATTATTTTTGGGTGTTTTTTAGTATTATTATAATGTTTTGACCTGATTATTGTTTTCTCTGTGGAGAATTATTTGGTTTAAATGTGAAAAATGGTGATTGACAGCTATGGCTAAAGGATGAAACATGTTTACTTCTCAAGAAATATGAGCTTTTCAGGAAATACATTGTGTCATAGCCCTCATTTATGTTATATACAGTATATCTATCTTTCACTTCCTTTATTTTATAAAACAACTCATTCTTTTAGAGGTGAAAAGATACTTTGTCATTTTGGCAGATCATTTGAAAGATTGTATGTACAGAGATCATGTATGGTTTTGTGCCTGAGCTATCTACCTTCAAACTCAGCATCACTCAGGAAAAATTGTTGCCATAAATTTTACTCACTGCAATAAAATGGAAATAGAGTCGTATTTGTCACTCGTGCCTCTCTCTTTCTCACTCTCTCAAGAACGTTTCCTGTGTGAAGTTAAGCAAGCATATCTATGATTAACTGGAAATTTGACTAAACAATCCTCTGAGCGTCTCTCAGTCATTATGCCTAAATATGACAGAGTGTTAATACTCAGAGATTTTAACATTCATGAGGGAGAAGCAAAGAAACTGGAGCCACAAAGTAGGAGAAGAACAGAGATACGACTGGACACTAATGAAGATGTATGACGCCAATACATGTATGTGTGTGTGTGTGTATGTGTGTGTGTGCGTGTGTGTGTGTGTGTGTGTGTGTGTGTGTGTGTGTCTGCTTTGGGAGAATGGACTTCATTGGGATCTAAATTGCCTCTGAAATAGCTTGATAAATGCAAGTAGAAAAAAAATTAATTACACATGTCAGTTGCAATTTATTCAAATAGTAAAACCTCTATTGTTCTATCATCCATGTCATCTCATGTCATCTATCTGCTATTACCACATCCTACTGATTCATAAATTACCCCCTGCTGACTTTTTTTTAATCACTTCTCTGTGCTGCTGTAGTTTCAATATGAAATATATCAAATATTACAACAAAATGTACATACAGTATACACAGATTCTCTATGCGTGTTAATAGAGAAAACTCCTCTCCTCTGTCCAATCCCTGCTGCCTGTCACTAAAATTTGCACACTAACATGGAAGCTCTTGTGACCTCTGACCTTTGTGTGAGGAACAGCCTGCAGCCAGACTTAACTCTTTGTCTGTCTGTCTGTCTGTCTGTGACAAAGTCAAATTTAAACAGAAGCAAACATGTTGCCCCATATTTGAAAGAATATCAAGTCACATAAAGTCATGTATAAACAGCTTAGAGCAAAAAAAAGTTGCTGTAGGAAGTTGAGATTTAGCAACACTGTAAGTCATAACAACAACAGAAACTTTCCTCTAACAAACTCGAGAGGACTAGCCTTAAGACAATCTGTCCTCCCAAGAAAATCAACAGCATTGGTCATTTCGGCAAATATTCCAAAACAACATGTTAACATTCAAGTGACAAAGACATCCAGAAGCCCCTGTAATTATGACTCTTCTGTGTCTGGAGCAAAGGAAGAAATATTGTGATCTCATAACCATTGGTTTGTTTGGCCCTAATCTTAGCCACGTATGTGGACAATACAGTCATGGACAGTGATTTGTAGCCATTTTGGAAGGCACATATGTCACAAACAGGGGGGAGAAAACATGGTTTCTCCGTTTTATAATAAATGTAAATATTCGATCCACCAATGACCAGAAAGTGCACAGAAAAAGAATTAAACAGTGACACAAATGTTTACTTTCAATGAGTTTCTCTGCGCTCAAAGCATTTTTATATGCGTCTAAAAGTCTCTGGTGCAATCTGCAGGGGTATGAGAAGAGTAAAAGTAGGTCTGTGGTGCTGCAATGCCTCTTAAAAAAAAAACAGGAAAAGCTGACAGGGCAGAAAAGGCAGTACTCTGATCCATATTCATATTTCCATTCATTTTACCGTGAACTCTCCACAACTGTTGATTCACTTTGAAGAATCACTTGTTCGTTTTCAGGAGTGTGTGCAGCTGGTTTCTTTTGCATAATTATACAGTTTTACTTTACAGGGTTTTCCTGTGGCTGTGTGAGAGTGTGTTTGGCGTATAAACACACACACACACACACACACACACACACACACACACACACACACACACACACACACACACACACACACACGCTCCATAGCCTCCTGCAGAAATTACACATTCAGTTTAAGGGCCTGTTTTTCATTAACCTTTATTTGTCTGGGTTAAGATGGCTGAGCCAACGTGCTGTTTTTCATTACTTTCTGTTGAAAAGCATTCACACCAGTGAGTCTCGCTCAAAGAAAACCTCAGACATATTTATTTCAAGCAACAGTTCATTTATCTTCAGGTTTAGTTGCTTTAAAAAGCCTAAAACACACAAGATTAGCTGAGGATTCAGCAGTTGAATTGCAGCTCTGGTTTTTATTTAAAACACTGAAATGATACACCTCTAGCTCAAGGCAGTGTTTTAGATAAAGAAACATTAAAAAATCCGAGCAATATGTGAGGAGCTAAAACCTTAAAAGTTATTAAAACCAATTATTAAGGCAACCAGGGAGTTAGTGATTTTCCCTGCTTTCTCCTGGCCTTAATGTGTTCATATGTGCATTACTTTAAAACTTTGCACAGGCAACCCTAATGTGTTGAAACAATATGAAAAGGCCATAATTTTACTATTCTCCATAATTAAAGAAAAGCTCATTGGGTTCTCCCTTAGTTACTGTTGCTACTTATCAAGCTTTCCGTTCTTGCATGGCACAGGTTAACAATGATAAGAGTAGTAGAAATTCTAAGTAATTTTTGAAACAATGCATCGTTGAATTCAGACAGAGATAGACCAAAGCAGGCTTCTCATTTCTAGCTGGCAACGGTCGATTTTGTCAGCTGAAATGACTGTCAATGGTAGATTTTATCAGTTGTAGCTAGCTACCTAAGCTAATATTAGCATTAGGGGGTTAAAAATACCATCTCTGGCTGACTAGACTTTCTAGCTGAATAATTTGGAAACAAGAATCTTATATGAGAAGTCTTAAATATGAAAAAGTTAGCATCCAGTTAATTCATGTTAAATACATATAAGGCTGAATAACTAATAATAAATAAGAATAACTGTTTTTGTATTGCCTTCAAAAGCTACTTAGTCAAGTATGATAGTGTAGAAGTAGGCTTGTTCATTTTTTGAACATGCATGTTTTCAGTTTTGCGTCACATGAGAAAAGGCTTTTAGAGCCAGACAGAGCTGCTAATGTTAGCTTAAACTCTCGTAGCATCCAGGACTAGCTTCCACACAGTGGGGAAATACAAGTAGGCTACAGCATAAACCTAGAAATAATGAAACTTGTTCCTTCACTTTCGAAGTAAGGTCATTTCTGTAGATAGTAAGCTAGTTAGCTGGACATGCTACATGATACCGTACAAATTTTTTAGATGCTGAAAGATCGCTCTCAGTCATGTGTGGAAAAATGTAGCCTAAAGCTTGACAGACTGGCTCTCTGCTGTCTCTTATGTGAAGAAATATGTGACTTCATCATCTTAAATTGTGTAAATGTGGAAAATATATGCCAAAATATGTGATTGATGTACATTTTCTTTCATGAAGCTTATAGCCAAATAAAATCCTGCTGACTCATCATGAATCAAAATGCTGTCCTGGCCTCCAAAGGAAACAGCAGCAGCAGTAACCTCAGAGCTTTTTCCTCTGAGCAGATCAATATCACTGTAATGAATTGCACTCAAACGCACACAGGTATTTTTCATTATTTCCGCTCTGTGTTGCTTTTTGAAGTGTAACAGACTCTACCAGAGAGCTAATTTAGCTACACTGATGAGAGGAAAATCCCAACAACGAACATTTGTAAAGGGTGATCTCTACTGATTTGAGTCTGGGGTTGTGCAAGGTTATAAGGAAAGACTTGAGGTATGTATGTATGTGTGCTTGTGTGTGAGAGAGAGTGTGTGTGCACAGTCAGCAAAGTGCGTATGTGCAGGTGTGTTCTCACAGGTGTGTGTGTGTGTGTCAGAGGAGGCTCGAGGGGATGGAACAGCAGTTTCCCGCTTCTCTCCGTTGCTCCCTCATTTCCAGCTGCTGCAGTCTTTCTCTCTCTCTTCCTTATGTCCTCTCTCTTTCGCCCTCTTTTTCTCCCTCCTGTCCTTTGTTTCATTTTTCTTCTTTCATCCACATTGCTGCTCACCATCTCTCTCCTGTATATGAAAGATAAAGTCATAACAGTTTAAAAAATAATCAAATGTTACATAAGATTTTCTTCTACAAACAAAAAGAGCATCAGTTAGTGTTTTAGCAATTGATCCCAAAAGAAACAGAGCAACAGGAAGCCTTTGTACAGTGATCATGTGTATTGAACATGGCACTGATCATATCCACACCTCAGGAAAATTGCATTTGGACCTGGTACTTTTCTTCTGAAGGCTAGAAACACATTGGAAGACTAAGACTTAGAGGGTTTTTGCAAACAGGGGAAGGACACAGATTTGTAAACAGCGATTTCTATTCAGTTTTCTTTTGTCATTAACCAGCTTGGACTGTTGAATCACGTTAAGGTTTGTCCACATTTCAGTCATAATTATCCACGTGTTTAAGCCAAAAAAACATACAAGATGAATTTGAAAAGACTTGACAGGCTGAGAAAAGACATTTA